TTTTGACCCATTTTTCTTCGTTTGTGCTGTCTCCTTCCTCTTTCCCCAATTTCCTTCATTTTTCCACTTCTGTTTTCCATAATTTCCCTGCTTTTACCATTTTTCCTGGTTTTGCTGCACTTCCACCCTTTCTCCTCCTTCTCCCTATTCCTGACTCATATCTGCGTATTTTTCCTCATTTTCCCAGTTTCCCCTTAAGTTTCGCCATCTCATGTTTTCCCTTGGCTTGTGCCTGTTTCTGCTCTTATTTCCCCATTTTACCCTAAGTTTTTTTCCGCTATTTCCCCTGGTTTTCTCCCTACTTTTTGCCGATTTGTGCCACCTGTATGTGGCACGTTCCCCCTCTCCAACAACCACCAGTAAGTGCCAGTACACAGCCATTGCCGCCGCCCGTCCCGTCACCCCCTCCGCCCCCCCCCATGCCCCCGTACGTCTCCCAAGTATGGCTCAGAGCCTCGTCATGATTTTCAGGATGGTCCAGACCCTTGCTTTTCAGTAGGGTCCAGTGAATCCTAGTATGGCTTAGCGCCTTCCTCAAGACTTCCAGTATGATCCAGATCCCCATTCCAGTATATTCCATTGCTACCCAGTACACCCCACTGGCCTCGTAGCGCTTGCTTTCCAGAACACCCCGCTGCCTCGCAGTGGCACTCGCAGGCTGGGGCGCCGGCAGAGGACTCCCTTCTCCCACGCTGGGGCTGCGATGAGGCTGGTGACCTTTCCCGCCTGGTCCCCCTTCTCCCAGTTGCTCTGGCCCCGGAGGCCATTTCAAGCCGGCCAGCCCCGGGACACTGCCGCCACTCTGCCATCAGCCAAAGGATTCGGACCCTCTCTAAATGGCCGCTCCTTGCCACAGCCAGCTCCTTCAGCCGACTCCGACAGCTTCTCCACTCCACTCCGCTCTGCCCCCCCTGCCATCCGCCACCGGGTACCCTCCAGCGCCATGACCCCCCCCCCTCAAGCAGCCAAGACCACGCCCACTCTCAGACTCGCCAATTACCTGGGCACCCCGTGGCCACGCCCCATCCTCTCCGCCCGCTCCTGCTGCTGCCGACCCCCATCTGTGACAGGGCCGTGACTCACCAGGACGGGCCTCAGCGGCCACCAGCACTGCGGTGGTGGCCAAGGGGGCACTGAGGGACGTGTTAGAGACCCCACCGCGTCCCCTGTCTCAGGGCCCAGCGCCCCTGACCACAGCCTCAGGGATAGCCCCCTGCTCCCCCCATTACTCTGAGGCCAGTACCCCTGTACTCACCACAGTCAAGGTCATTGATGGCCTTGGCACTCAGGGACATGATGGCAGCACAACCTGAAAGGGGTATGTGATCCCTGACACTTCCCTTTTACCACCAGGTGTGACCCTAGCTTTACCACAGGCCTGACTTGCAACCTCCCCTCAGGGTCATTAGGCTGGTTAAACAGTACATTTTGGTGTCTCTGAATTGTAAATTTCAGCATGTGACTTTTTTTTCCAGTGAGTGATATTTTCATTTTTCCCAAAATTTTCAAGTTCTGTGAATGAGTCACACATTACTTCCAATCATGAGAAACTGGTGAGTACTAGTATTTGAAAGCATTGCTCTCCATCTTCAGGCACCAGTCAATAAACTTGCATTAAGCCACCTGATTTGTAAGTGGACTGAATACTAAATATCTGGCATTCGCCAGTGCAGTGCCAATTGCTGGCAATCAAAGTAACACCTCCAGAACAGAGGCTTAAGTGGAGAGAAATTTTATTCCTGCATGTGTGATAAATGGACATTTTCAAACTTAATTGTACTGCCAAAACTGAACTTAAAACCACTTTGTGCTTGTACAATGGGGGATATGGGAGAGAGGAAGCACATGATTTGACTGGTTCAAAACCTGACATGGTTTTATGCTAAAGGTTCTTAAACATTATGGCTGTAGAAAACTGAAAGTGAGTATGAAGTTGAAGCTGCATTCATAAAAATGAATAAAAGTAACTGGAAATTAGTTGACTGGGACAGAAATGGGGCAAGCTGGCAAAATAGCTATGCAACTTCTCCGTGTAGTGAGCAAGACTAGCTCTCTCAGCCTGTCTCCAAAGCAGAGCTGCTCCAGCCCTTGCAGCATCTCTGTGGCCTCCTCTTGACTCACTCCAGCAGCGGCACATCCCTCTTGTGTTGTTGCCCCAGAGCTGAATGCAGCACTGCGGGGGGGGGGGGGGGGGGGGGGAGACTCACCAGAGCACAGTACTGGGGGCAAATCCCCTCCCTTGACCTGCTGCTCACACTCTGGGGATGCAGCACATCGCACAGCGGGCTTCTGGGCTGCAAGTGCACACCGGGGGTGCTGGGGCATGGGGAACTTCTCATCAACCACGATGACCCTCCAGGATGGGGATACATCCAAAAGACAGGGCTAAAACCTAAAGCAAAGCACTGCATGTAGACAAAGAATATTCCTGCCGTAAAGCCTAGGCCCTTCAGTTGGGGAGTCTTAATCAGTGGCCATTGCATAGGAGCTCTTCCTTTTTTTGTCACCCCTTACATTGGTTGCCAGGAGCACAAAACTTCATTAAGGTTTTCTGACTGTGTGACACTGTGTGCTGTATTCAAGTTGGTGGAGTTACCAAAAGCTTTTAAGAAATAGAGAGGCTTGTTTCTTTCTGCACTTGTCTGTACTGAGAAGGGGCCAGAGGGGCTGGAATATCGTCTACAAGTATGACAGAGGACACATGGAGACCTGCCCCACTCAAAACAGCTGCAAGAGGCTGGCAATCACCAGTGAGCAACTGGATCAAGCCCTTGATACTCCACCACAGTGAGAAAAAGCCACATATAAACTGGAGGGCGACACTGTAAGGGTACTGTTTAAAAGTCAAGGATATTACTATTTCCTACCAGGCTCTACCAACAAAAAAACCCACACAAGATGATTTTCCCTGCCTCTGTACAGCCTGGGAGTCAAATCTGGAAGTGTCAGCCATTGTCAACTGAACTGCTTTATAAATCCTTCCATTTGCCTAGATTGTTGCACCATTTGTGTCAGCAGCCTTCAGCAGGTTTCCAGCTTACTGAGTTGACTGAGACTGCATCTAGAGTAGGCTGGGCCGCACTTCCCAATGTGTTGGCTGCTGGGTCACCTGCCTGTCTCCTCCAGCTGCTGGATCTCACACCAAAGCACATGGTCAGAGCTGTGTAGCTGATGTGTGGAGCTGTGCACTGGGGAAACATAAGAGAAGAGAGGTATTCTGACAGCATGTAAAGGGAAGAGCACTTTTATCTCTACTGAATAGCATCTGTCTTTCTCAGGGAGGGGGCCAACTAGAGACAGCTGCTCTTTATTTGGGAATTATTTTCTCACAAACACCAGGACAGTTAGTTGCCGAATACAGCCCATCCCAGGATGCCTCTGTCCTCTGTGCCTGCATCAGATAATCCCAAGCAGAAGATTAATGCAATTTAAGTGAATATTTGCACATGCCTAATAGGTTCTTGTCTGGTATATATATCAACTCTGTTCGGACAAAAAAATACTACCAATTTCTTTAGTTTCTGAACTAGGCAGCCGCAGAAAAAGCCTGTTACACAACCTTGTCACTGAAAAGGAAAGTTGTAAATGGGGAAAGCATTGGACAAAGGACTTCTCTAGCTGCATGTTTGTGACACATTTAGTAATTAAGAGGCCCAGAATAACGCTTTGTAAAAAAGTGCAAAAGGTCTTCATGCAGGAGAGCCACACAGACTATTCAGTTTTAGATACAAAGCTGCAGTTACCTGAGTTAAGCTATTTAATGTTCTGCTTTAATTTGAGTACTGAGTAGCATAGATCACTAACATTATTATCCTTTCATGCAATGGGTGATACACAAATCTTCAGGTTCAAAAGTAAGGTAAGCTTATTTTAGAAAATGCCAAAACAGCTCTGAGAAGCGTAAGTGCATGGAAATGTCATGCTGATATGGTCTCATGCTGGACTTAGGATCAACTTTTTTTCAGTCTTAACATCCTTTACCTAAGGCAAGCTTGCAACCTGCTTGCATCATGTTAACTATAGTCAAACAGATGAGGACTCCACACTGAGTGTGACATAGGTTTAGACTGTCCTCAACACTCAGACTTCCATCACAAATGGATGACATCGGTCCCTGAGACAGAGCAGAAATAAAACTCTGTTACTAAGGCCTAGAATGTGTGGAAAAATTAGAATGTTTTCCTCCTACTGCCAACAGTCATAACATCACCTGAAAAAAGGTACCTACAGGATAAGCTGAGCTCTGAACTTCACAAGGACTTATGTTTTACTTGTCTTGCTATCCTGACCCTATACTTGACATAGGCATTCTGTTTGTGATGAGATGTTTCTGCAGGGTCTGAGACCACACAGCAGCAGCACATCTTACACTTCAGCAGAACAGGCCATAGAAGTGAAAAGGCAACAGATGAGTCATCAGCCAGACTGCAGTCTGACACCCCACTCACTCTCCTGCTGGAGATCTCTCCCCTCCTGCAAGAAGGCTGCTGATAATGAAGTTGCCTGGCACATGAGATTGCAGAAAACCAGAGTCATCAGAAAAATATCAGCCATTTATTTTCTGCTATTTTAATAAAGAGATGGCTTCATCTCTCAATGTGCCTGAAAGCAAGTTCCAAGAAGTGTCTTTAACAGTTCTCAACAGCCAGTTTGAAGAACTGCTGACATGTCAGCTGTGTTATGCCTTGAAACGTGCCTGCAAGTGGACAAACTGCCATACATGATTTTAAGGATAAAGTGAAGTTGCTTGCTAGAAACCTTCACATCCTTACACTGCTTGAGTACTCCACCCCTCTATCTCTTGACCTTGCACGAAGACCCAACACCAAAAGGGATTCCAGTGTTTCATTCTCCAGAGCTGGGCAGAGGACAGGGTGGCTGAAGATTCTGGCCAGCACAGGCAGAGTATCTCTTTAATGTATCTCATTACTCCCACCATCAACATTGTAACTCCAATGCAGTTACCTACTGCATTAACTTAATTTTAATTAGTAACTGGATAATATAATTCCACAATTTATTCAGTTACGCTTGCTCTATTTTACAAAGATATCAGAACAATGAGCTCAGGAATATCCTTACTTTAATTTCTCCGAAAAATCCTGAGAATTAAATAGGACTGGATTATTTGACTGCAGTGGGCATCCAAGGCTCCAGTGCTATGCATCAGCTCTGGTTAGAAGTCTTCAGATTAATTTGTTATGCTTCCAAATTAATATCCAGTTTCCCAGCCTGCCATTCATGAACTGCACTTTCAACCCCTACCTGTCTCAGGGGCAAGTACTCAGTGTGCCTTTTTACAAGTGGCTTTGCTTGCACTCCCCTAAGTTATTTCCAGGCATTAAGTACAAGTCTGAGAAACATTTAAGCCTCTCTGGAGATTTAGTGTGCAGCTGATCTAAGGGATATCAAGTCAAATCCTAAATATATCTTTTAAGACTTAGGCAAACCAAACCAACTGAAAATCCAACTCCTGCTTTGGTAACTTGTTATAGGGCCGATACTAATAAGCATTAGTACAAAGTTTACTAAACCCCTTTCAGAGAGGACAATCACAATCTCCTTTGTAAAGCAAGCTGTTTCTCTGAGGAAATACCCCCTATTTTGACATCAGCATAGGCAGTGCAAGCATATTGCAGGCAGCTTTGGAGTAAAATAATACTCTTGAACTACCAGAATACAGCAATTTGTCATGGTAAAACAAGCTTGATTCATGATACTAAATTAAAAAAAAACAACAAACTAACAGACCACCCAAACCACTGCCAGTACTGGCAAGAGGCAGTAACAGGCATTGTAAAAAGACTGTTGTGACTAAAATTCGGTTACCTCTTAAAGAAGAAATATGGTGGTGTTCCTGCTTTTCTTTGTGGAAATTCAAGACCCAGGAGGTTCTAATTGAAGGGAAAACTGGTACAGATCTGCTGGATAAAGCTTTAGCACATTTCTTCATTTCTCTGAATCTTGACTAAATGATCATGTCTCTCAGTTGCTTCAGGTACACATTTAGCAACCTGAAAAACACACCATTACCTTGTCTTTTTTCACTCTCTCTTGCTTTTCCTCAATATAAGTTGATTTTTAAGGTGGAGGAGGGAGCAAGGTTAAGACAAGAACCAGAGATATAATACCAGATGACCTCTAGCTTAAGTGATGAGTATTAAAAACAAATCACTACCAGAGTTAAGTGACAAAACTACTCTTCCATTTATTTCAAATCAAGCTGCTGTGAGCTGGATTCATTAACTTCATTTTTCAAGCTGGATTCTTTAACAACTTCATTTTTCATACATACAGGTTCAGTAACATTGATAGCATGTGGCAATTTAGAGGTAGCTGCATAATAAAAAGAAATTACTAACATTTAACACTTTGTATAAAATGGAGGTGAAGGGTTTTTCAAAACAGTACAAGAAATGTTCCATCACAAGTCGTTACTTGATGACACTAGGGAGTATTCTTTGACCAGAATTCACCTGCAGGAACAGGCATCTTCCTGGCTATCCTTCTCAGGTCAGATATGCTTAAGTGAACATTTTAGAACCATTTAGTATTAGATGTCTGCCTCTATCACAATACTTAATTAGCAAACAGGAAAGCAGCTACAGTCCATTTTATGTTTTCATACACTGAGACTTAAATGTTCATATACTGTCCAGCTTCTTCAGGATGAAAGGAGCTGAAAAAAGAAAATAAAGCCACATGAACTTAACTCAGCTGAGAGTAACAGGAAGTCTACAGTGAGTCTGCGATGAAACTACAACACGTTTACGTGGCATCTAAAATATTCAGACTTTGGGTGAGATACCACCCCCCGCCTCCCACATCGTCCCTTCTCTCCCTGCATGACTGCTTTAACGGGTGAAGTAGCATGATTCAAGGGGGAACAGGGTATGCCCGCTTGTGTTGCAGTTCAACGCCGTGGGCAAGCGCTCGACACCACCGGGCGCAGACGGAATCACACAAACGGAGTGAAGAGCACCCTGAAGAAAAGCTCTGATGCAACAAGTTACAGCACTGCCTGCAAGAACAGGCAGCATGGCGATGTTCTTCCATGCTCTGGGGAAGTCCAGAACCGCGGAGTTCGCCCAGGCCCCGCCGGGATGCCGAAGCTCTCCCGCCCCCGTGAGGACGCGCCCAGCCACCGGCACACGCAGGCCCTGGCTGCCACCAGACCAGACCCGACCCGACCACGCCGCGTACTCACTGATCCGCAGCAGCGCGACATAGATGAGGAAGTTGCGGACGGAGGTGAGGACGTCGCGGCGCATCTTCCGCTTCAGCTCCTCCGGGTCCATTTTGGGCCCCAGGCCCTCGATGCGGAACATGCTCACGCCGGCGTCCCCGCGCGCCGCTGCGGCTGGCGCGAAGAGCCACGCGCGCTGGCCTCACGTGCACAGGGTGGGCGGCGGAGCGAGCGCAAAGAGGCGCGCGGATGCGCTAGATTGCAGCGGCAGTACTGCGGCGGCTCCCCCCCGGGGCTGAGAGCGTGCTACGTGCTTACGTTCTACCCCTTCCGGCGCCGCGCTTCCGCCTCTCCTGCGCTCGCATGCTGCCTCTTCCGAGGCTGTAGTTGCTCCTGCCTTGCGCTTGCGTCCAGCTTATGGGTGCCGTGCTTCCGCTTCTTGTGCGCTCGCGTCCTGCCTCTCTTCTGGGGTCGCGCGTCAGCCTCTTGTGCTAGGCTGAAAGCCGGGACACGGGCGCCTATTAGGGGGAGCGAGCTCGGGGTGGGGGGTTGTGTGAGATTTCCGCAGGGAGAGTTCCACTGGTTTGAACTCTGGTCTTCAAAGCCCCTTCCAACTCAAACCAGTGGGTGATTCGATGGTTCTGCCAGCAGCAGTGCGTGTTTCTTTTGCTCCTGCCAGATTGCAGACAGTAGCATGCTGTTTCCTGCGGCAGAGATGGGTCTTTGGTGGGGAGCTGAGCTGCTGCCTGTTTGGAAAAGAAGTCTCGAAACACACTCCAGCTCTGTTCAGAGAGGAGACAACGTTTATTTTCAGAAGGTTGCTTGGGACATTTCTACAAATAGAGCACACCCAATGCTGTCTTGTAGGTTACATTTATACACAAAAGTTACAAGGTAGTACAGTCCAGTTACAATGACTGGTCAGTAATGTACAATCGTTGGCTCTTCTGTTCTCCCATCTCCTTTTAAAGGCATAGTATTGATTTATTTCACCATGCATGTTCTGTGAGTAAGTGTCTCTGTGGGCAAGGGTCTCATCTCAAAGAAGTGTGATTTTTTTTTAATATCAATGAAGGCAGTCCAGGACACCATAAAAGTTAGTTTCATTGCCAACTCTAGTAGAGATAAATGCTCTTGGCCAAAGCATGTTTTCCTCCTCCTCTGGCGTCCTTTGGCCTTTGTCCATTCTGTCATCTACTGAGAACAAGACAGTTCTTTGTCTAAACCTTGACACATATTTACACAGTTTCGTCTGGGTTAAGTCTTCCTGCTGCCAATCCAGAATCGGTACCACCTGAGTCTCTGATCCTCAAGGGCTGGAAGACAGCTCTCTCCACCCTAGGGTTAAGAATACAGCAAAGCAGCCTAGAAGCTGCCTGGTCTGGTTGACCTGTGGGTGTGAACTTGGGAAGCTGTGGTGCAGGCAGGACACTTGCATGGGGGCATGGAACGGGAGTTCTGGTTAGATGTAGCTGTCATGGAGGAGAGTCATGTATATATCACAAACCTTTCTCCTCAGCCCAGTGCTTTCCCTCAGACGTAAAACAACCCTACATAATAAGGCACAGAGAAATTGTACAGTGCCATTCAGTGACCTTGATTAAGGGTTACAGTGTCCCTTCAGCAAGTTTGCTGATGATACAGAGCTGGGTGGACTCTCTGATACACCTGAAGCTGTGCTGCAATTCGGCAGGACCTTGATAGGCTGGAGGATTGGGTGGGGAGAATGAGGTTCAACAAGGGCAAGTGTAGGAAGGGGAACACATGGGGAGGAAGAACCCTGAATTCCAGCACAGGCTGGGGGGTGAGCTACTAGGGAGCAGTTCAGCTGAGAAGGACCTGGGAGTGTTGGTGGATGACAAATTGACTTTGAGCCAGCCCCTGGGACAAGAGTGTACTGGGGTACACTGGGAAGTGTGGCAGCAGGTTGAGGGAGGTAATCCTCCCCCACTACCTGACCCTGGTGAGGCCACATCTGGGGAACTGTGTCTGGAGTCTTTGGTACAAGAAAGACAAATAGCTACTGGAAAGGGTCCAGGGGAGGCCCACAAGGATCATCAGGGGTTTGAAGTAGCTTTCTTATGAGGAGAGGTTGCTGGAGCTGGGCCTGTTTAGTCCAGAGAAGAGCAAACTGAGAGGGGATCTCATTAATGCAGATGAATATCTCAAAGGTGGGTGCCAGGAGGATGGTGCCAGACTCATCAGTGGTGCCCAGCAACAGCACAAGGAGCAATGGCCATAAACTAAAACACAAGAAGTTTCATCTCAACATGAGGAAAAGGTTCTTTACATTGAGGTTGTCAGAACCCTGGAACAGACTGCTCAGGGGGGTTGTGGAGTCTCACTGTCTGGAGACATTCAAAACCCACCTGGACATGTTCCTGTGTAACTTGCTCTGAGTAGCCCTGCCTTGGCAGGGAGTTGGACTGGGTGACATACAGAGGTCCCTTCCATCCTTAATGGTTTTGTGATTCCATAGCTCTGTAGTAGTAGTTCTTGGGATGTCTGTTACCAGCGATTGGTCTGTAATTGATAATGGTTTCAAGGAGCTGGTATTATGTCTGATCTTACCTTGGGGATGGGAATGCCTTACGTGGCTCTGTCTAGAAGTGGTGGACACAAATAGAGGAGAGCCTCCTTTTGTGGATTACAGTTCATGACACTTCAAAGCATGTCCCAACACAACAGCTTCAAAGTCAGCAGCTCCAGCCATGTTATTGCATCCCCCACTGCAAACCCCACTGGCTTCCCAGTCTGTGTGGTACTACTGTGTGTACATGAGGACAATCCTGAAAAGTAGACTAGTCTCAGTGTGCTTGATCACTGGGGAGAGAAGGTTATAGTGCACCAGGCAGGAGCGGAGATTGCCTTGCTAGCCCCTCTGAACTCTTCTGAGTGCTTTCATTCTGGGTAATCTATTAACAGTAGGACTTCATAGATAACTGTTTTTTCTCTAATTGCAGTAAAGAATTAATGTAGTTGTGCAGTCTTCTGAATAACACACCATTGTCTTTGGTACCATTGCTGATCTAGAGAGTTTGTTACTGCTTCAGCTAGTAACTGACTTATCTGTGCTACTTCATTTAGTATAGTGGAGCCTTCACCTCAGCGCAGAACCCCATCATGCAAGGTCTTGTACAAAGGCAACCCCTGTTCCCAAGGAAGTGTAGAGAGAGCATCCAAGGGCAGTAATACTTAACAGGTACAAAGAGACAAAGAGGGACAGAGATCTTGACTTTGGCAACGTCCCTTGCCAACCACAAAGCCACCTCTCTGGGTGCTAAAGGTCATGGGAAGCTGGGCTATGGGTGAGTTTCAGTCAGGGTAATGGATCACCCTGATTGCTGACTTGAATTACCTCCCTCTGAGCTCCGTTTGTAGCATACAGGTTTCAGCCAGCCAGCCAGGTTTCAGAAGTAGCAGTACTTTCAGAACTTCTACTCACATTCCAGGAATACGGTCAGAGATGGCCACAGGTGCTGTTAATGCGTGGAGACAATGAAGCAAGCAGTCAGAGTCTTGTGGCTCTATCCACCACCACCCACTGGGTGCCGCAGGCCGCCCTGCTCTGCCTATGATTTTTGGGATCAGAGAATGCACTGTAGGCAGATAATTCAAAAAATGGATTTCTCTCAGCTAAACTGCCTATGATCCAAGGCAAAGCAAAGTACAGAGCAGCTGCTTTCATTGTGCCACTGTCTGGGCTGTCACCCAAAGTCAGGAGAATAAAACTCCTTAATACCAATGTAGCATTAAAAAGTAGGCACTTCTTTATTGCAGCACTGGGTGCTAGGTGGAATTTCCACAGATCAAGCATATCCCATGCCTATCTCATAGTTACTTTTATACATTAAAATTACAAGATAGTACACTCCAGTTACGATGATTGGTTAGTGATTTGCACACAATTATGGTATCTGCTGTGTCATTCTCTTCTGTTACTATGCTTGTGCTGAGGAAGGGTCTTCACCTGGGCAAGGGTCTTCTTGATCCGTGGGTACATTTTTTAGTATTATAATGAGAGCATAATAAGGATATTTCATCTAAAGGACACCCTAAACTTATTTTGTTGCCAAGTTGGCTGGCTACCTTGCCAGGTTGTCAAATAACTCATCCTATATACAATAGACCCTAGGTGCTCTGGTTATGGTTTAGAGAGTAAGGACTAAGGTAATATGTGCCAGAGAACAGGGACTTCAAGCAACGCAGCATTGGATTTCAAGCAGCACAGCAACCCATACTAACATAAGGGCTAACTTCTTCAATCAAGATGTTCTTATAGGTAAGTGTTTCACAAACAAACACAAAATATAGAAAGATTCAGTAAAACTTAAGACAATCTGCAACAGTGCTACCTCAAGAGCCCTCCATGACTTTGCAAAGAATGGCCAAGGAGGAGTGTTCTTAAACTACCTTACTCCTAGCATATTTGCCAGACATTCAATCCCACTCCCCAGTGCAAATGAAGGGGCAACATCACCGCTGAAGTTGGAAGACTGCCCTCCTGAGAGCTTTACAGCAAGGCTCTGGAGGAAAATACAATAGAGCTGCCCAGATCTGCAATTAACATAAACTAGCCTTTTTCTGCTGTCTTCCAAAAAGTCTTGTTGAGATTTCACTCTGAATGTAGGTTTCTCTGGTCTTTGCTAGCAGAAACAGGTAGGCAGGTGCCAAGCCAATCTTTGCAGAAAAGCAAGGAGTCTTGTCTTACATTTCAAGACTGTTGGTCCTCCCAGTCTTGATTTGTATTTGAAAAGCAGAAGTGATGCTGTTTTCCTGAGCACTGCTCTGCAGAAGATAAAGGAACCTGGGCAAATCTGGGCAAAGCTGAATCAAATATGACACACTTTTGAAAAGAGACTAGAGCAAGAAGAGCAAAATGTAAGTGAGGACTCTGCCAGGACATTGGCCGAGAAGCTGTTGCCACAAGTTTTTTCACCGGAGCCACCCCATTCTCCTTGTCCTTTTATGAGATGTGGGGATGATAAACATTTTCTTTAGGAGACATCCACATGGAGTAGGCAGGAGACTTAAGGTGTGGAGTGACCAGCAAGGAACAGAAGACATTGGCTTTGGGTTTTTACAGCAGGATGAACAACTTCCTGAGCTGTCCTTTGCAGCAATTTTCCAGCATTCCCTCAAACCTCCAAGTGAAGCAGTTTTGATAACTTGTACTCTGCCCTTAGTTTTACTCAGTCCTGTAATTGTATGAAAATTTAGCTTTCATTTCCTG